ATACACACATATATATATATGTAAAAGCTCGATTAGGCTCGAGCTTGGCTTGAATCGTAATTGAACCTATATATTAAGCTTGAGCTTAGCTCGAAGCTCGGTTTAGATCGAGCCAAATCAAGCTTTTCATGAGTCGAGCTCGAAGAGACCATAAAAAGCTCGTCATTCTCAAAAACAATCTCTACTTCTCTTCAAAGGCAAAGACTAAAGAGAAAATACCCAATCAACATAGCAAATCGTAATTGGGCTGGACCCATAAACCGAAAATGGGTTGGTCCAAGCTCTGTGATTTTTTTTTTTCAATTTGATTCAAAAACACGTCATGAAACGGATTACAATAAAAAATTCAAGGCACAAACACAATAAATAATTTATTATCTACAGCAAGAGAAAATGTGTGTTTAAAAAAGTAAAAGTCATACAAGGGAGATTAGCATAATATAGGGCAAGAAAATTTGTGTTTTACTTTTTTCGTAAAAAAATGGGTAAATTACAAAGACCTCCATGTACTATAGGGTTTGTGGCAAAGACCCCCCCTGTACATTGTTTTGCGACAAAGACCCCTGTACTATGACCATGAGACAAAGACCCCCCTTGACCATTAAGTCAGATGATGGAATGCGTTAAATTACCAAAATACCCCACTAAACTTTTTCTATTTTCTTTTTTTGCCCTTTTTCTCTTAAAACCTATTTAACCTATTGTTTTCCCTTTCTTCTCATTCTTTCTCTCTCCCAACTCTCCAAAATGAAAGGACGGAGGAATTGATCTCCATATCTTGCTTGATCTCCACTATCTTCAACTCTCATTCATAAACAATTTTGCTTCGCCAATTAGAGAATTGATCTTCACTATCTTCAACTCTGCTCTTTGACTCAAAACGTAACGAGCAGGACAATATCCAATAAAACATTCACTGTTTTTTCTCTCTGCATTTTCAAGGTTAGGAAGCCAACTATGAACTTGTGTTAATATGGCATCCGCTCTTTCTACCTGGTTTGCATTACCAGCTAGTTGGCTTCCTCTCCTCTCATTTGAGCTGCACTCAATAGTTGTTGTGTATGATCTCTCCTCGAAATTAAGATTTTTGTGAGTTCATTAAGGTTCTTGATGTTCCTTCTATAATGAAAAATATAACCAATCTGCATCCCGACAGACATTAGTATGAACTTTACCACTTCCGTAAGGGGAGTTACCCAGATTTCCAACAAACTCATTTTGGGTTTTGGATTTGGAATAGTAAAAACAATATAATTTCAAAAAAAAAAAGCAAGAATACAAAGAGTTGATTTTTTTGGCCTTTTCATGAACCAAATAACAACAAAAATTTATCTCAAACTAAAGCACCAAAGCATATCTATGTATTGGAAATAATGGTCACAGGGTACTTATCTTAATGAATTCGCTCTCTAGTTGCAGAACGATGTATTTATCGATAGGAAGTAATGTTCCACTTCCACCACCTACAGATCCTTTGATCTGACCAAACTGTTGATCTGTATTAAACAATGGGTGTGTTGAAGCTTTGAAGTTTGAAGGATGGATGTGTTAACCCATTAACGGCCACCAGCTCTGCTACAGTCGTACCATACATCACTCCGATGCTGCTTAAGCTCTCCCCTGCGTGCACTAAAGGGTAGTATCAGAAGGTCAGGGAAGATGAACAGTGTTTTTCTCGTTTAGTTGTTACAAGGGTAGTATGGAAATTAAAAAATATTGTAATGGCTTTTTTGGATGAAAAACTAACGGAAGAGGGCCTTTGTCTCATTGTCATAATTTAAGGGGATCTTTGTCACAAAACAAAGTACAGGGGTCTTTGTGACAGACCCATAGTACAAGGGGTCTTTATAATTTACCCAAAAAGAATATCGATGAGATTCTAATTAATTGAGTTATCACTGCCGGAATCTGTTACATGACGAGTCAATCTGCAGCGCAACATTAGCTTCCCTGAAGGCATGGGAATATTGCATATTCAGAAGATCTTTATTTCTGCTTCCCTCAGCGAGACGACTATCTTCAACCTTTCTTTGTTAATTGAAATCGACTAAATGAGCTTTGTCGTGTTTTTTTCTTGTCCTCCTTTACTATTAACCTTCTGAAATCTGATTAAGGCGTTTGGTAAAAGTCAGCCAGATCTCTTTGAAGTTCCTCCTCTCCTAGTATCTGTTTTTTTCCACGGGAAAGTCTTAGAAATTGTTTTAGCACCAGTTGTTACTACTGATAAATCCATTATTTGCTGTGTGATGTTTGCAACAATCTTTACATCATTTATTGCAATACTGTCCATTTTCAGAAGGAAACAATCGACTGCCTGGGTCAATAGATTATTGATCAATTCAACGGTTTTTGGCCAGAGACTGGATTAAGAGTAAAATGTAACTAATTGCCTGGATGGTTCTTAGGCCAAACAGTATGGTCATCTGGATCAACAATGGTCTAAAAACATTACTTGGTACTAACTTCACTAACTTTGCATTATTGTTCAATTTTACCAAATTGGTCCTTGTGTTATATATACACCAAAGCAGAAATTAACAGCATAAAAAAGGGAGAATGACAGTTCAGCCTAGGATCAGAAGCTCAAAGTACAATTGGGGTAGGTGCCAGATCGGAATTGATACCAATTCACGGGCAGGCATTGATACATAAAATGAAAATATTTGACATTTATTATTCAGAAATCTGCAATGGGTCTTTCCATACTTTTCTATATAAAAAATCTACAGAGCTCCCGAAACCCACCCAGCAGAGAGCACTCCTTTATGAATTTACAATCAGCCGGTGGAATTTGTCCTTCACATTTTGAAACAGCGGAAATTGAAGTGTTAAACTAATCTCCTTTACGAATCCTCATATTTTCAGAGTCTGCTCCTGAAATTCACTCAGCTGAAATGGAATTTGCCCTTCACATTTGTTTCTTTTACCTTCTTAGTTGACATGAAATTAGGGCTCGCAATATTTAATAAGATACGTGGAAACAGTTAGAACACAACACAAATTTAGTGAGTTTGGGTTTTCCTTTATCATATTTGTGTCAAAATTGCATTGGCCCACTTAACTCGAAAATAACCTACCTATTTATGACCTGAAATTTCAAGTATTAAATCATGTATGCATATTTGAACCAACCAATAAAAAATGTATCCATATTTGAATGAATACTATCATTATTAAATATCTAATAATGACATTGAATAGTTTTTATGAATTTATTTAAATAATAAGTGATTGAATGTTTATTTTACTATTTAGATCTATTTATTGTATAATTTTAAATAGAACAAGTGTGTTGATTATGTTTTATTTTAAATTACATGTGCCATTTAATATAGAATTAAACAAGTTTGTAGACAGATTGGGCCGAATGGGCCCTAACCTATTATTATTTTGTTATTAGTTCTTCGTAGTTGTTTTGTTTGCTAATGGGTTTGTTAACTTTTTTTTTTTTTATGTATGTTGATGAACTGACCACCCATTTAAGGATAATTTTGTAATTTGCTCAATTTTAATGAGATTAATAAAAGATAAGAGGGATAGAAGAGATCGCCAAACTCTCTTCTCCATCTTTCTTGCTGTCTTCTTCTTCCCTTTTTTTTTTATTATAATCTGAGATTATTTTATAATTTTTTATTCAACTGAATCACATCTAAGTTAATCATATTAACTAGCGAAGTAATCCATGCTAAGCACGAGAGTGAGGATAAAATGAGACGTCAAGTAAATCCACAGAAAATCCACACCAATCCCAGATGCTCGATTTTCTTCACTTCCAAAGAAAATCTATAGGACACGATTGGCAAAAATCAAAACAATCAAACATATTGGTAATATATAATCAAAAAGAAAAAAAAAAAAAGACAACATTTCTATACATTTTCCTGCACAACCTATTAAAGTGAGATAATGTCATACGATTAAAGGATTGAACAATTTAACCAGCATAAAATTACTTGTATTTCTTTGTTTCCCAAAATTCTTAAAATTTAAAATTCATTCAAACAAAAACAAAAAAAAAAGAGGGAGCCATTGATAAGTTCCAGGCGACGCTTTATGGAATGTGAGTGGGTAGAAAATTATCACCGACAACAGAATAAAAATGGTAGAGTTTTTGTTGAAAGACCACGAAAGCTTGATGCCATTGAACTCTTCCGTAACTTCTTTGTAATCTTTTATTCCAAGGATGACATGATTTATATCACACGAATGGAATAATTGCAGAAGATGTAAGAATGGACGGATAAAAGAGAGAAAAACAGGGGCAGAGTGGTGTTGGGAGAGAGAGAGAGAGATGGGTCTCATCTCTTTCTTCGTTGTTGATGATCAAACCAGAGAGAATGGAAGGGATGAGAAGTTTCCTTTCCAATCACTGCCATCACCGTAGCTAGCAAACAATCTTCTCTCTCTGTTTCAATGCTCTTTTCTCCTGCCTTGCTTTCCATTTTTTCTTTCTTCTCCCCTTTATTAGCTTGATCATGCTTTCAAGATCAAAATTGTTGTTATCTATCATAAGCTCCTGAATTATTAGGGGAAACCTTCTAAGAAAACACAGATTTATCTTCATTGTTATTTCTCTTTTTATTTTATAACTTTTATTTTAATGTGTTTTGAAGAGAACCTTTAAACAGGCATCTTTTTAGTGTTAAACTATTAACCGTGTGGTAGTATTTCATGCTTTGCACGTATAAATCTTTCAATCTGTATGATGTTGACGTATCTCACTTTGATAGGTCATGCAGGGAAATGTGTAAAAAGACATGTGCAGGATATTAACACAAAAATAGCAGAAATTGATTAAGGGAAATACTTTTATTGAAGCACTGTCCAAAATACATTAGACTGCTGAAATTTATAGATTTAAACATAACAAATTTTCCTAAAAACAATCAACTACTTAGCATAAAAATCTATCACCGCAGAGTAACTACTCTTTTATTTGATAGCTCATACTGGCTTAGTCTATGCCGAAGAAATAGCAACAGAAATCTAAGTAAGATGCACTAATTTGTAACACTCCCCCTTAGTGCATGCTTACGATCAACAACTCTAAGTGCAGCTCTAAAGTTTTTAAATTTTACTTTTACTAAAGCCTTTGTAAATATATCTACTACTTGATTGTAAGTAGGAATTCCTTGCAGCTCAATTTCTTGATTCAATATTTTTTCACGAACAAAGTGGTGATGAACTTCAATATGCTTTGTTCGCCCATGAAAAACTAGATTTGAAGCAAGTCTAATAGCACTATCATTGTCACAATAAATCTGCACAGCATAATCAACCTTAGAAAAAATATCTTCTATCAAACACTTCAACCAAATGCATTCTTGTGCAGCCATTGTTGCAGCCATATATTCAGCTTCAGTATTAGATAAAGCAACACTTGATTGTTTCTTACTACACCATGAATCAACAGCTGAACCAAGACTAAAACAGTACCCTGAAGTTGAACGACGATCGATTGCATCACCTGTCCAATCTGCATCATTGAATCCTCTTAAGACAAAGTCACTTCCTTTCTTGTACATAGGACCATAAGCAGGCGAGCCCTTTACATATCGCAAAATCCTTTTGGCAGCATCTAAATGATAAGTTCTTGGATTTTGCATAAACTGAGAAATAATACCTACAGAATATGCAATTTCTAGTCTTGTGATAGTTAAGTAAATTAAACTACCAACAAGTTGTCGAAACCATCTAGCATCCTTCAATAGCTCTCCTTCCTCTTTCTTGAGCTTGAGATATGGCTCCATGGGAGTAGCCATTTCTCTTGACTCCCCTATTCCAAAACGCTCCAAGAGACTCTTTGCATATCGTCTTTGAGATATAAAATATCCCTGATCTAATTTCTCCACTTCTAGCCCAAGAAAACATCCAATCTCACCCAAATTTTTTATTTCAAATCGAGTTGACAAATTGTTCCTCAATTGAGAAATTTCAGTTTCATCATCTCCGGTGATTATCATGTCATCCACGTATAGTAAAACCAACAAATGCATATTTGGTTCTAATTTTACAAATAAACTAGAATCTGAATTAGCAACTTTAAATCCACAAAAGATGAAGTACTGAGCAACTTTACCATACCAAGCACATGGTGCTTGTTTAAGGCCATACAATGCCTTTTTCAACCGGCAAACATGTTGAGGAAATTGCTTGGAGACGAATCCTTTGGGTTGTTCCATGAACACCTCATGGTCTAATTCATCGTAAAGAAATGCGTTCTTTACATCAAGTTGCCATAACCTCCAGTTTCTAAAAGCAGCAAGTGAAACAATTGACCTCACGGTCACCATTTTTGCCACGGGACTGAAGGTCTCCTCATAATCCAATCCATAGCTTTGAGAAAAGCCACGAGCAACTAGACGAGCTTTGAATTAGTCAATTGTGTCATCTGATTTCTTCTTCAATCGATAAACCCATTTGCAGGTGACCGGAGTGCAATTTTCTGGCTTAGGCACAAGCTCCCATGTCTCATTTTTCTTTAAGGCTTCAATTTCTTCTTGCATTGCCACTTCCCATTCTGGACAGCCCTTTGCTTCTTCATAACATGCTGGTTCTTCTTCTGTTAATGCTCTTGTAAACAAGCAAATTGTCACAGTATAATTATTGAGCTACACATAATCTTTGAGGTAGGTCGGTTGTCTTTTCTCACTTGTTGATCTTCTAGTTGCTTGCTCACCATTGTTTGAACTTGAAGAAGCTGGAGGCTCATCACTTCTTTGTTGACTAGGATCACCGTTATCAGATGTTTGTGTGTTAGTTTCAGGAAACAACTCCATATTATCTTGATCATGATCAGAATCTATATTTTGAACAATTAATTTTTGAGCTGGATATCAAGATGACACCTCATCAAATACGACATCTCTAGATGTGACAAATTTCTTCGTCTTTGAATCCATGCACCTCCATCCTTTCTTGCATGAGTCATAGCCAACAAAAATACACTTCTTTGCTTTCGGATCAAGTTTGGTTCGATTAGTTTTAGGAATATGAATATAACAAATAGAACCAAACACTTAAAAGTAGTTCACATTTGGTTTCACATTATACATTATCTCAAATGGAGCCTTTTCTTTACCTGGCCAAGGAGGTAGCCTATTCATCACATGGCATGCACATTGAACTGCTTTTGCCCAAAGCTCTTTAGGAAGAATTTTCTCATGTAGCCATGAAAGACTGATTGATGTAAGATGTGCCAACTTTCTTTCTGCAACCCCATTTTGTTGAGGGGTGTTTGGACACGTCATCTGCCATTGAATACCATTACTATCACAATATTGAAAGAAATCAGCTGACATGAATTCATTGCCATTATCGCTCCTCAAACATTTGATTTTCTGTCCATATTCCTTTTCTACAGCCTTATTGAATTCAACGAACTTAGATAATGCTTAACTCTTTTCTTTTAAGAAATATATCCAGGTATACCTGGAATGATCGTCTACCAACACCATGACGAAATGATAACCGCTGTAACTTGGTGTTCTTGTTGGCCCCATCAGATCAGTATGAACTAATTCGAACAAAGTGGATCTACGATTTGACGAGCTTTTGAAAGGAAGTCGATGTGATTTTCCATACTGGCAGCCTTGACAAATCACATTTTCTTGTATATTTTGAAGATCTGGTATGCCATCTAACAACCTCTGTGAAGAAATTTATAGCATTTGATAGCCTACATGTCCCAACCGAGCATGCCAGATTGCTACACTGTTAGCTTGGCTTGTCTTCTTCACATATGCCTCCCCCACCGACATGACAAATAAATAGCCTTTCTTTTCACCAGAGAGAACAACATCAGCCCCAATATTTTTCACATTATCAAGTACTTTCACATCGTTTGGGCCAAACAAAACATATTTTCCAAAATCAGTAATTTGAGAAACTGAAACTAAGTTTTTCTTCAAACCTGGTACATGATAGACATCATTCAACTGAATACTTGCGTTATCGGCACCAATCTTCACAACACCTTCTTGTACCACCGGATAGGTTGAGTTGTCAGCTGTAACAATGACTTGTTCTCCATTATGTTGATGCAGCTCTAAGAATAGTGAATCATTTCCGGTCACATGATGTGAGCAACCAGAATCAATGATCCATTCATCTTTGACGTAGTTGACTGCAGTTTGATTTGGTGCTGATTTGTGAGCAATGTTATTTCTTCCTTCAATCACCTCAGCAGTGAAGCATTGCTCCCAGTTGAGTTGGTCATCTTCATCTTCATCACAAGCAATATTTGCTTTGGAGAGCTTCACACGACAATTTCTCTTAATATGCCCAAGTTTCCCACACCTATAACACTTAAAAGATTTATTACCTTGTGCGCTATTTCCATTACCATTCTTCTCATTCATGTTGCCTTTAGAAAACTTTTCTTTGAAAAAGAGAACATCATCACGTTCTGAATTGAGATTCTTAGCCATTTGCTTAGCTAAGGCCTCTTGGTTAGAGAGCAAGCTCTCTAATTCTTCAACTGATGGTTGTTTTTTCCATCCCTGAATGGATGTAATGAAGGGTGTGTATTCCGTCTTCAAGCCACGAATGAGAAACCGTCATAGACGAGCATCACTAATTTTTTCTTTGGGATCTAGCTCAGAAATTTCAGCACAAATATTCTTGACGCGAAGGAAATGTTCTGAGATTGACATACCTTCTTGCTTCAACATTGCCAACTCATTTTCCAAGAATTGTAGTCTTGCTATATTCTTCTTAGAGAACAGTCTCTCAAGAGTATCCCAAATTTTCTTTGGTGAACTAACATCACGAACATGATCAATGAACTCCTTGTTGATTGATGCTCTCAGAGCAAATAATGCCTTTCCACATTTGATCTTCTATTTCCTTCGTGACTCAGCATTTTCAGGAGTGTCAGCTGGAATTTCATCAACACCAGAAACTAGTTCCCAAAGATCTTGACCTTGAAGAAAAGCCTCCATGCACATTCTCCAATACCTGTAGTTTGTGCCTACAAGTTTCTCCACACCATATTGTGTGTTAGAACTGCTTCCCCCATTGATTTCCATTTTGAGTTTCAATCTTCTCCAACAAGATGAACTTGATAGACAAGAAGAGTGAAATAAACAAGAACCTCAACCTTGCTCTGATACCATAACACAAAAAGAGTAGAAATTGATTAAGGGAAATACTTTTATTGAAGCACTGCCAAAAATACATTAGACTGCTGAAATTTATAGATTTAAACATAACAACTTTTCCTAAAAACAATCAACTACTTAGCATAAAAATCTATCACTGCAGAGTAACTACTCTTTTATTTGACAGCTCATATTGACTTGGTCTATGCCAAAGAAATAGCAACAAAAATTTAACTAAGTAAGATGCACTAATTTGTAACAAATATCCGGACTCTCTATAAATTTTGACCTTGGGTTGAACCATCACCTTTTTTATGCATTACATGGACACCTCCTCTTAGACCTGTTCATGGGCTGGGCTGGGCTGGGCTGGGCTTGGGCCAGGCTTTTACTCTTCATTAACAGGATTTTTCCAGGCCCGAGCTTGAGCCCGGCCCGACCAATGGGCCTACAACTTGGGCCCGAGTTTGGCCCTCATAAAAAGCGCAAAGCCCGAGCCTGAGCTCGACCTAACAGAGTTGAGAAATGCATTGACTTATATAGATATAGACTACAAAGTAAAAGAGGCTGAAATGCATGATTTGTACAAAGTTGAGAAATGCAGGACTCACCGTTGGAGAGAGGGGCGACTGAGTTCATTGGTGGCGCGGCTGGCACCGGTGCTTGAGTTCACCGGTGCTTGAGTTCGTTGGTTCTTGAGAATATGCGACAGTGCAAGTGAGAATGAGAATTGCGAGAGAGAGAGAGAGAGAGGGACCGGTGTTTGAGCTCGCCTGTCACCTCTGAAACTGAGAATGGTGGTTGCCTGCCTGGGTTCGCACCGATTCTTGAGAGTGAGAGTGAGGAGAGAAGATAGAAGATGAAAAGAGGGAATAGAAAAGGGTTAGTTGGCTAGGGTTTAGAATAAATTACAAAATGTCAAGCCGGGCTTTTGTGACAAATCCCGAGCCTGGCCCATAAAATAATCGAGCTCGGGCTTTTAGGCCTAAGGTCAAGCCTGTGGGCTAAAATCCATGCGTAAGCCTGTTTGGGGGTTGGGCTGGTTTGTCGGGCTACCTGGCCCATGAACAGATATCTCCTCTCCCCAAAGATCTCCAAAATATCTCATATCCATGGTTTTCAAAACCGGACCGGACCGGATGATCGGACTGAAAAAATCGAGAACTGGTCACCTGACCAATTCTGTTTTCCCTAAAAATCGGATTTTCCCCCAAAACCGTTGATTTTCATCAACGAACCGCTGAACCGGGTGATTAACCGTTCGAACAATTTTGACCGTTTTTTATTTTTTTGAATTTTTAATTTTTTTTTAGAATGGGCCGAGCATTCGGTTCGAACGATCGAACCGTTCGACCCGATAACTGGAACCCTGACCGATTCAGTCACCGGATCGGTTTTAATAACCATGGTCATATCAATGGTTGGCACAGCCGGTCCAACTCTGGTACAGAAAACATCATTTGATGCGCTAAAAGGCTTCACTAGGTTTGTCAGTTGTCACGACGGTGAGATTCAGTGAAGCTGCCTCGGTGATAAAGAGGCCGTCATGGCTTTGTAGATCGAAGCTTCCATCATGGTGGTGATTTTGGCCCCACCAAAACCTTCCTGATCAATGGCCAAAAGTCCTGTTTTATTTTAGGGCCTTTCCGTTAACTTTGATGGATGTGACTCATATGAAGTACTCATCGGACGGATGTCCTGCGTAAGTAACGACGGTGTTTCCCACCGGATCAAGAAGGAGAGGATTGTAAATAAAAGGAACTTTGAGAGGTATTTTGGGAAGGAACACTACACCAGGAGCTGATGTAGAACTGGACAAACAGAGAGCAAACAAGTAAGGCGAAGAGAATGCATTGCTAATCTACACCGGGAGGGAAAAGTTCGACCGACCCAATGCGGCTAACCCGGTGAGCGGTGACGCCCTCTGCGAGACCTTTGAGCAGAGATGTTGGAGAGCAGGAAAAACACAAAATCCCCTATCAGTGCGAGTCGGCCGTGGTTGTGTCCGTCCGTAGTAGGCAACGCAAACGAGTTGATGAGAGCTTCGACTATGGTGGTTTTCCGAGTAACTGGGGTTTCAGGGAAGAGTGAACAAGAGTTGTTAGCGCAGCCGGGCCCCAGTGCATGGAAGCAATTGGAGCAATCGAGGGAGTTACAAGGGATGGGTTGATAAGTTTGGGACTTGTGGTTCTTCTCGCAATCTATCCAACTGAAAGAGGCACTGAGGTCGAGGAGCAATTTAACGGGTTTGAGGGGGGTGTCCATCAGGGTAGCGGAGAAGAATTCTAGTGAAGTTATTCTCTCAAAGCGACAGAATTTCAAGCAGAACCGTAGGGAAGTTTGCGGGAGAATTTTGATGATCAAGAGAAACGAAAACATAGTCCGTGGACATAGTTTGGGAGTAGGAATGGCAACTGGGTGGGGCGGGGACGGGGATTCTCTCTCCATCTCCGTTCCCGCGAAAATCTAGATATCCGTTCTTATTACCGTGATTTTTTATAATGTTAATTATTTTGTTTTTGTTTTTTATTTTATTTAAAAAAATAAAAATAAAATAATTAAAATTTATAATTTTATTAAAAAAGATTTAAACATATTCAACCATATTTTTTAAAATATTAATATATACATATATATACATATATAACATATGCATACATATATATCGGGGTCCCGTGGGATGAAGAGTGCTCTCTCTGTCTCCACCCTATCTCCGTTAACGGAGATTAAAATTTCCCCATCTTCGTCCCGGTGGGGGAAATCATCTTTATCCCCGCCCCATTCAGGGAGGATAATCACATGAATTAGGGAAATGGGAAAAATTGTCATCCCTATTTGGAAGATTTTTGCAAGAAAGCTTGGGAGTCGTGGTCCAAAATGGTAGTGTTGTTGATAAATTTCTGTATTTCATTTGTTCTGAATGTTAGAAGCAAACTTAGTGATCGGTGGAGAGTTCAACTTCCATCAGGGCAATGCACATTCTGGCAATATCTCCCTACTCGTGTACTTTATTTCATGAGGGAGATATTCTCGATGCAAGGTTGCAAGAAACTGTTGGGACTGGTGCAAGTACAGGCTTGCCTGAAGCCGAAATCAGACCGTCATTTGTGATATATTCACATGACTGGTGAACAATGAAAAAAGACATCATATCTTCACAGGATTGAGAGGTAAATGAAAGAGACAAAAAAAAGTAAACATGTGAATATAAAATCAGAACCTTGTTCGTAATATATTCACGCGACTCGGAGAAATTTACATGCAGATACCATTTTCTGCACACAAAGCAGGCCACGTTGCCCAAAACGAACACCCATCCCGCCGCTTTAATATATAGATAGATTCGGATCATGCAGGTTGTGTTGTATTATTCAAGGTTTTAAAAACTGACATGGAAATGAAACCGTTCTAGCTATCGGTTTATGGGTCAACGGTTCAACCGTCTAAGTTGAACAGTTTGGACGATTTGCTATTAAGGCAAATATTTATATGAGATTTTCTCTAATATGTAAAATTCATATAAGAAAGAAGAGATGTCGGTTGAGAAAGCCAGAAAGCAGGAAAAATGAGAATTGTTGTCGACTGATAAAGAATAAAAGAAAGAAGGAAAAAAGGAGGGAAGGAGAGGAGGAAGATGATTGGATGCTCACCAGCGACGGCAAGGCGGCGGCAACAGATGCAGATCTGAGATCTAAGTTGTTGAATCTCAGATCTAAGATCGATTTCTCTGAAACACCTGTAGAAGAAAGTCTTCTTCTTCTTCTCTTTATGATAGATCCCAGATCTGAGTTCGTGTCTCAGACTGGATATCAAATATGAGTTCTCTTCTTACAACTTTATATTGCGAACCACCGACTGAGTCAAACGAGTCGATGATTCAATCGCCTGAATCAATGGTTTTCTAATAAAGCCAATAGGTTTGACCCAATAATAAATTAGAGGTGAAACGAAACCAGTTGTCTAGACAGTTTCCGGGCCGAACGGTTCCACCGTCTGGGTCAACGATGTTTCAAAAACATTGGTATTACTTGTGTTGTATCTATGTCGATCCATATATTTAAATGCCTCTACTTTGACATTACACGAGAACACGAATTACCACCTTTATTTGAATTCATGAAGGATGTCAAAGATACAACACCGGTATGATTACAAAAGGAAGCAAATTTCGTTTCTAAGCTAAAGTTTTACCTTTAGAACAGCTTAAGTAGTTTTTTAACAGAGAGGTGAGTGGAAGCCATATGTGAATTTGATGATGCAGTATCTTTCTCTTCGGTCAAAAAATCTCAACAAGTCCACACCATATGCTGACACGTCAAACATGTTGGGCTTAATTACCGGCTTGAGCAGTTCAATTTTTTGGGCAAGCAACCAGTTCATCTCTCTCTCTATCTCCATTCTTGCCACTTTGAAATCCTAGGTTTCCATCGATGACTCCCCATCAACCCCATCAGCCTATATTTCTCCACCACCATCATCAACGTAGGCAGATGATCCGAAGTGCTGCTTCACAGATGGCGAGACATCTCTGCTACTAAATTAAAACGACTAGCTGCGCCTCAATCAGAGGAAGAAAAATCTTCTACGATACAAAACACACCTTCAAAGATGGTGGCTCCTAGGCAATCTTCACTCCATGCGGCAAACACAATCAGCATATAGCAAAAATCCCATTTCGGTGCAAAATTTCCTTGTTACTCACAGATGCCATTCTCTATGTCAGAGGAGTCATGGTGGTCCCACCATTCATATGGTCTCTCTGGTTTTCTGTCCTGCATACTAATCCTGCTCCTTGTGTTTCTTTGTTCTGTCACCTGGAAAAACATCGGAGGTCATGACCATACAGAATTGCGCCCAAGCAGTTGCTTCATTGGATGGTTAACCTAAGTCATGATCCTCCTCCCAAGACAACCCGAACCTCAGCTACTCTGTCGACAAAGGCAAACCCATCAAGAAATAGGAGAGAAATGACACGAGTAGCTGAAGCACCACCAATCTTTTTACCACCATAATATGTGAGCAGAATCTCAGGTCGGGTGATCATCTCCTGAGATTCTTCAAGAACAAGGTGAACTATTCAAACCGGTAACTACCAATGTGAGCAACTTTTGATGTGTCAGATCATGATACGGAGTATGGACTCACCAGGATTTTCAAGCCAATTTCTCTTTTCATTACTTTTCTTTCCCTTTTATCAGCAAGCAAGAGAGATTAGCAAAAGCAAATAACTACAATACCAATATATCTTGAATAGACAAAGGCTTGAAACATAGAAAGAGGCTTTAGCTAACAGCAACACTATTTCAATCTTTTAAAAGATAAAAACGAGTTTTCTTTTCTTTATACTCCAATAGAAAAAGAAGAAAAGCACGTACATTCAAGCCATATCCACATCATGGTTCCAGCTTCAAGGAAACAACTCTAGACTGTCTATTTCGCTTTGCCACCTTAACGAAAACTGCTGAGAGGCAGGATGGAGCCCACCATGGCCGGCGGACTTCTTGCTCCCCTTTCAAGCAAGCCACTGCAGATTTCATTTGATGCATCCAATGCAATCACAACTTTAGTAGTCTGCATTACATAATCATAATGGCACCATAGCATTTGTATCTAAAATTGAAGAGAAGTCCAACGTATTAAGTCATTTAAAGGGCCGTTACACAATGATTGTCCTCGAAATCTGGGGTCTTGGGAGGGCTGCACTGGATATGGTCCTAACTTTTGGCATTTTTTTTCACAAAATGGCTACTTTCAGCTCAAGGGTAGCCATTCTATTAAGGGTGCAAATTGGCCCAGATTTCTGGCTGGGCCCATTCAGATTTTAACAAATTCCAACCTGAGCTCACCCAAGTTGCACCCCGTTCAATAGACTATTTAAATGGTTACTACACTACAAAGGGCTTCTACACACACACAGAGAGAGAGAGAGACCCTTAATGCGTCTGAGCTCCTTGCACAGGGTGATGAAGTCTCCCCATTTCATGTGGCACCTCCTTATAAACCGTAGAATTTGTTCAGAGGTGAACATGGACAAACTCTCCAAGTACTCTCCATTGACACCATTATCTTCAAAAATCTGGCGATAGCTACCAAGATTTATCTCTTCCAACCACAAACCAACATCCTGAAAAAACACATACATGTTTCTCAGGCCACTGTAAATATCTTTCTCTTGCCATGATTCAATTTCAAACATATCAGTATACTCATAGTAAAATAAATATAGCATCATAATCTATATCTATTTTCAGGTAGTAAGGTTTGCCAGTTTTTATTCATCCAGTTATAAAAGCCTCTATAAGCCCTAGTGCCACTTTCCTGTTTTCATTTAAGAGGATGAATGGCTGCTCCATATACAGTCTTATACGTTTATGTAATAGCATTTTAGATTTATGTGCTTTTCACCACAATACAAGCAAATCATGATTCTCTCCCTCTCATACACACACGGGTGAGCAATCGGTTTATTCGGTTAAAAACCGAACTTAATAAACTGATGTAACCGTTTCTGGTCACGTACCATTTTTTGTGATGTATAAATTTTTTTTTGGCTAAGTACCTCGTTATTTGATCCGGTGGTGACGTGCCTTGGTGATGAGCTACTTGGTGGCGAACTCCCTGGGGGAGAACTGCCTGGTGGCGAGCTCCCTGGTGGAGAGCTACTTGGTGACGAACTGCT